GACTCCGTTCCAGAACACATCGAGAAACGGTAAGATATCTATGTCACTGCGGGACCACCTGTAAAAGTCTTCCCAAAAAGGAAAATCATCATACGCACTTGATAAATGCGGCGGGTCCGTATCGATGACAACGGTACGCAATGCTGAGAGACTCGATCCGATCTCTTGCGTCCACTCCAGATATGCCTTTGTTGGAAAAAGAATGATTCCATCATCAAGGACTACGCCGTAGTTGAATTGGAAGATATTGTGGCCGTAGAGAACACCGATTGCCTCATAATAAATCTGGCGGCAAGTCTGAAGGATGGCCGGACTTCCTGAGAAGCTGCTGGTCTTGATGGCTGTGTTGTGTAGGCTGCTGCCCGCGATCAAAATGGGCTCGTCTTCTACTAGCAAGTATTCGTAGATCTGGTTGCGGAGTTCAGCCGGAATGGTGAGGAGTGAGGTTTCAGCCGGATTGTTGATCTGCGAATACACTTGTGCGATCTGCCCGTGGATGGGCTTCGGCAGTGGGAAGTGCATGACGGAGTGAGAGACGGCGCCTCAGCTGCTGAGTAGTGGTGCCGCGGCGGCGACTGGAATTCGTTAGTACATGCACATACAAAATAACAGCGTAGAAAGTAGTTACCGGATGGCTGTGAGCGTAGTTGAATGAGATTGCAACACGCCCGGGTGCGATGTATCGTGTGGCTCCCTACAACGCGAGGGAAGCGACGATGGTTATGTGAGTGTCGGTGTTCAGAAATTCGCAGTGAGGCTGTTGTGCTTGAGCTTGGACCTTAATTATCCTAAGAGGGAAGAGCACCCAGGCAGTGACTGTTTGCACTAGCGCCCTAGGAAGGTGTTTCGTTCACACTATACTACGTCATCTTCTTATAATCTGTGCCCGAGTGATAACAATCCGCTGGCAGTGGAACTGGACGTCGGTGGCGACGCGCGACCGCAATTACTGGATGATGCAAAAGGATCAATCTAAGGTGCACCGGTCACAACGGCTACGTGGTGCAGATGGAAGACACGTTGGGTGTAATGTCCACGCAGCTGTTTGGGAAGTGATGATGGATTTAGAGCTTCCATGTAGAGTGCAGTTTTAGTTATGGGATATGCCCAAGCATATATGTGCTAAGCAATGCCAGGTCGATGCAAAAATGGAAGTAAAGACATGGCAAGAGAACCCGTGTTCTTCCGACCTTCGCGCTCGAGCTTGGAGTCTTTTCGCGAGCAGCTTCGGTTGTGTACACTCGTGTGTATGGTAGTCCTACACTTCAGTGGCAGAGCCGATAAAGACGCCAAAGAACGGTATACATCGTCTGGTCCTTCCACTCATCCTCGTCGTAGTCCCGTTCAGGCCAGTATGGGCTCCTCATGAACGAGTGATCGTGCTTTGGACAATCCAATTGCTTCCACCACCTATAATTGCGCTTATCGAACAACGACGTGAAGTCCTCCGAGTCCAAACTCTTCACAGTGACCGCTACGGAAGACTGCGGATCATCGTCAACCTTCAGGACGGCAGCTCGCATAGGGACACACTGGCCATTCAATTCAACCTGAACGCGTAACTTGCGGGTATCTGCGGTCGTTTCGGGCTCTAGATGCTTCAAAAGTAAGTAGGCGTTCTTTCGGATGTCGCCCAATCTTGCAGTGTAGTCTCGGGTTTCGTTATGACTACCACATACACGAACAATGATCGTCGTGGTCCCCATAAAAACCGAAGTGATACGTAGAAGATCCCATGCATCGATTTGAACGGCAGCCAGCTGCAGCGACTCTTTTGTATGAAACTGCAAGATGATCGTCGGTGCATTTTTATACAATACACTTGCTGAGACGGGATGACAGCTTGGCAGTAACTGACAGAAGTGCAAGGGGTACTGCCGGTATATCTCTGCGATACTACGGTCAAGTCTCTCAAACATTGCTTTGGAAGATTGGGTGGATTCAGAAGCCAGTATCAGGGTATAGCGGATCTTGAGTAGGAACCATGATCTAACAAGCCTGCGAAGCTGAGTATTGACGTTAAGCATGCCGGGTTGGTGTCCATGCGTGATGCCGGTGTTGAAATTATATGTGCATTCTTGATCACCGAGTGCAAGACGAATGATAGCACCGGTGATATTATTGGGCAGGTCGAACAGAGTCAGAGGGTTTCGTAAAGGGACAATCTCGTAACGCTGAGTCCCCATCGATGGCCTGAACTGGCGTTGTATGGCGCCTTCATAATGTGTCGACTGATAGTAAATGGTGCCTTGGCTACCGGCTGCATCCACATAGACACCTCCCAGAAAGCAGCGTGTTTTCTTCAAATCCAGTGAATCTTTACCCCCTAACTCAGACAGAACGTTCGTTATGGACGCCACATCAAGCTCTGGCTCTTCGGATTCTGAGTCAGAATCGTCTGGCGCATCGTTCACAAGGTTCTCAAAGCTCTCAAAGATGACTGATGTGTTGCGTGTGTCGCTGTTCCAGAATACATCGAGTAATGGCAAGATGTTTATCCTCTGGCGGGAACACTCCCGCACATCCTCGTCGAATCCGTAGTCCCTGGACTCCGCAGGAATCATGGGCACGTCCATGTTGATGGTGATATTGCGCAATCTTGGAAGACAAGAGCCGAGATCGTCTATCCACCCTGTGCACACTTCGAGGGGACTATCGATCTCAATGGCGGCCTCGTCCTGAAAGCGTAGATGGTATTGGAAGCGGAAGGAGTTACGGCTATAAAGAATGCCGACTGCTTCGTGGTAGACTTGACGGCAAGTACGAAGAATAGCAGAGCTTCCGCTGAAGTCACTGGTCTTCCTGATCCTGGTCCTCTTGATTCTGGCGATCTGGTTTGAGATGTCCTCGGCGTTTTCGATCGTTATAGGGCAAGGTTCCACAAGAAGATACTCGTAGATCTGGTTGCGTAGCTCAGGCGCGATAGTGAGTAGTGAGGGTACATCCGGCGCAACAGCTCCGGAGCACGCTTGCGCGATGCGGCTGCGTTTAGGATCTGGGACTGGAAAGTGCATGGCTGCAGTCCAAGCCAGTGATTGAACATAGGTGCGACTGGCGGTCATTAGTAAGTGTACAAATGCCATACCCGTAATGAGCGAAGAACTTACGGGATAGCCTCCAATGCTGTTGCATGCGACAGTGGCACGAGTGACTGTAATGTGTTGCTTGGTTTCTGTACAAGACGACAGAAACGGTAGAGAGCAGGTGAGCGTCGGAGTTGTGGAAGTTAGTGAGGTAGTAGCGCATGAACTTGGACCTCGCTTGTTGTGGAAGGAAAGAGCGACGACGGTTGCCTAGGGGCGCAAAAAGCGTCTCTCACTCACCTGAATTACGTCATGTTGAAGCGATACCTTCAGAAAACGTGATGACAGTGAGTGACTGCAAAGCCTGATGCCAAAGGAGAAGCGACAATAACTATCGCATGAGAGGACGAGATACCCTGCGGATGGTTAAACTTCCAATGCGCGCAGATACTACCAACATGAGTTGCATCTTCATAACAACAAGACATCTGCATTGAACCCAACAACTTCTAAATACGACCCCTCTCCAGAAACTTCTTCGGCAAATCCACAGTCTTCGCGCGCATATACTCCATAGCATCTAGTCATCAGTTAGCAAGACACACTTCACGAAAGCCCAGGTTGCACTTACTCTTCCCCAAAGTATCATACGAAGAACACGTATTATACCCACCATCCCTCAAGTGATCATGCAGCAAAAAATGCACCGACCGAATCCCCGCAATCTCAAACCGGTCAATCGGCTTCCCCTGGTACTCATCCTTACCAAGAAGCTGCTTAACGCGCTCGATCGTCATGAACGAGCGCAGCCAATCCCACTCGTCGTCGTGGCGCACGAAGAAGCCGCAGTTGCAGTCTGAGGCTTTGTCTCCGGAGCGGCCGGCGACAATGTAGCCTAGTGGTGCGCGCACTGTCTCGCCGAACGAAGATAAGTCGACTGGGGAGGAGGTCTCGTAGGAGGCTTGTTGGCGGGGGTATTCTTTTGTGATGGCGGGTGGGCTGAGGTCGGTGGACGTTTTGTTGCCGTACATGGTGTGAACGCGTAGGGGGAGTTGGTCTTGGGGGAGGAGTGAGACCCAGTAGTCGTAGTAAGGCTTTGGCGCGATCTGGCGCAAGTCGTTCGATAGCGAGAGACCGGGGGCGGATTGGAGGAATACTTCGAGACACCAGCGGTTGAAGCCGTTCGGGATGTCGGGTCGTACTAGCTCGGGGTCGGAAGTCTGGGCGAAGATGCGGAAGTCGACTGTTGCTACGTCCTGGTTGCGGGCATCGATTGGTGAAGAGCCATTTTGGTGGAATCTGAGTGTCTTGAAGCGGTTTACGTTGTCACCCATGGCTATTCATCGTTAGTCTGAACTCGCCTTCGTCGAAACAACACGTTTGTGCTTACCGTAGCGGATCTGGTCTTCGGTGATCTTGCACTTCTCCTCGATATCGAGACCGCATACAAACATATGCCACTCGCATTGCCAGCCAGCTGGAGCGGTAATACCTACCTTGGTCGTCGGTGGCGGGGGAAGACCCTTGACTCCCGTGACACGCACGAGATCCTCTCCCACTTGCTCCATCTTGACATCGGTGATATCGGCCGTGACGTCGCAATTGTAGTATAGCGGTCCCTGAATCTCGTACAATAGTTGTGAAGTGCATGTTCCGACGGTCACGCAACCTGTATGCGTTAGCTGCGTATGCCCCTAACTCAAGGTGCTGGTACCCACCTCCGGTATCTTTCTCTTTTGCAATGATGAAGCTACCATCATATTCGACTTCAGCGATGGGAAAGCCCATGTTGATGTGCTTTCCAGTTTTCATGAGATCTTTGAACATAGAGTAGTACCCCCCCGTAACGTAGGCAGAACACTCTACAAGATGGCCTGCAATGAGTGCTCCGGCAAGTTCGTCAAATTGATCGTTCTTCCAGTTGTGCCACCACCTGTTCAAATTAGCCAAGGTCAAAGAAGTATCATAGCAACTTACGCCGCAGCACCAATGACTGGCGCAGCATCTGCGAGCCTTCCACCAAGCACGATATCAGCACCCTGTCGGAAAGCTTCCGCAATGCAAAGTCCACCCAAATACGCCTGTGCACAGATTGGCTCCATTCCCCATTCCTCCAGCTTCTTGCCATGCATTAAGCTTTCGAACTTCTCTCCCTTTTTGATAAGACTGTTGACCTGCCCAGTCACATCGTCTCCTTCTATCCATGCCACTTTGAGGTGACCAGCACCCGCTTTTTCCAACATATCGACTACAACTTCAGCGAGAAGTTCAGTATCTGAAGCACCAGCATTCACCGCGAGCTTCGTCTTGTTCTTGACTAGATTTGGTATCGCTGGCTCGAGGCATTGGATGAAGGTATCGGCGTACATGGCGTTCTTCTTCCGGTCTTCGAGGCTCGTCGTGCCATTGGTGCTCTTCGTAGGCTTCTGCTTTACTTTGCCGCTACCATGTACGGTCATGGTCATTTCGGATAGCCAATCGCCTGTTCGTGTCAGCTCGAAGTCCTCCATAGCCAGCTTTCAGGGGAGTCTTACCCATCACAACATCAACTTCCGGATCACCAGCCATACGCATAATAGCAGTCGAACGATCCGTAAACCCTCCCGAGCATCCTGCGATGCGCACAGCGCGCTTGCGGTCAGTAGAAGGAGACATTTTCACTCGTTTGGGGTTCGGCGCCATGTATGTCTCGTAGTCAATCTAATAAGGGATCAATTGCTCCATAACGGAGGGTCTCAAAGCTATATACCAGGCCGTCCAGGACCGGCTTTCCGGGGTACGGCAAGCCATCGAGGCTGTTGCAGGGCCGTTACCTCGACATCGTCCAATGGCGGCTATGCATAAAGGTAGCGCGACACTCATGTCATGTCCTGGGAGCTACTTGCGGATAATCTTGAACGATGGAAGACGATTTCCTGAGAGCTTATGGCGGGGTTGCGGGGAAGGAGACGGACGCGAGCGCGCGGTGCTGCTGAAGGCCTAGGAAACATTTTGATCGTGGTATGACCGAAGCTATACATGGAACATGGTTAATTTCAATTGAAATGTTGGTTTGCGTACCAAAAGGAGCGTGCTTGCCTTCCGTGAGTTGGCAAAGTAGAAAAGGAAGCGTGACGCGCGATGTTCGCGATTCGGCTAACGAGTCATTTTGGCCAGCGATGAGGTTCTGTATGACTCGTCGAGTGTGTCCAGCCTCAGGGAAAGAGCGCTCCGCACCATCTTAGGTTTAGCAACGTCACCTGTGTACCCCCGCGAAGAAGAACAAACTGATTGAAGCTGTCTATACATTGTATGCAGAGACTATACACATATTCCAGTCTCCCAACCATTCAAGGTGCCAAATTCTCAATCACCAACCAAACCCCCATCTTTCCCTCTCCTCCCTTCTCAGACCCTTCTCGCGCTTTCCCACCAACCGCCATCCCTTTCACCCCCCTCTTCTCCCTCTTCATCTCCTCCCTCGCCTCCCGCCACTCCCTCTTCACAGCCAATCTCTCCTTCTTCAACTCCTTCCTCTGCACTTTGTACTCTTTCTTCGCAGCTTTCCATTCCGGATCCTTCTTCGCTTTCTTCGCCGCTTTGCCTTTGCCCTTGGTGTTGGTATCAGCGTGTTTGGCTTTCAATTCACGTTTCTTGGCGCGGTGTTGTTTCTTGAGCTCGCGGTTTCGCTGCTTGATGTTGCGGCGCGCGAGTTTGAGGGATTGGGCTTTGGGGGTTGGGGCAGGGGTGAGGTCGGAGTCGTAGTCGGAATCAGAGTCTGATGAGGAAGAATCAGAGCTATCTGATGATATTGAGGAGGTGTCGTCGTCGTCATCCAGGTCCTTGACTGCAGCTTTGCCTTTATCTTTCTTGTCGGTGGGGTATGCCGTGTCGATTTTGCGGTCGCCGTATAGCACGCCTGTTTCTTGGCCCGGTGGCGTATCGTACGCAGGTGGTAGGTCGTTGTGGACTTGCTCGTACGAGGCAGGACCTGAGGTAGTAGGCCCCCTATTCCCACTTACACTCACACCTCCACCTGCATTTCCACTAGCCATCCTACCCACCTCCACCCCGAAAGCACTAGCGCGTTTACCAATCTCAACACCCAAATCACCCATATGTTTACCGAACTGCTCCCCAATCTTTCCTAATTCTTTGCCTACTTCTGCCCACTCGTTTCCGGATTGTGGTGGTCCTCGTCCGCGTCCACGTCCGCCACGAGAGGAGCAACCTCCTCTACCGAAGAAGGCGTTGCCTCGGGGCCCGAATGGTCCTCGACCGCCGCGCCCGAAAGGCCCATTGCCAGGTGTACCAAAAGGTCCGTTGCCAGGTGCACCGAAGGGGCCATGGCCTGGCATACCAAAGGGCGACCAGTGACCGCCTCGTCTGCCGCGAGGATGATGACCGCCCCGTCCATGTCGACCATGTGCGTGTGAAGACTCCTCTGGAGGTCCAGGAATGGAGCGAGGTGGGTCTTCATATGCTCCAGCAGATCCTCGCGCCCTATTATGCGACGATGTGTTTCCAACATGATCAGGCGAGCCAGTAGCCGTCTGATGACCCGAGAAACGTTCACTCATCTCATGCAACTTGAGCACTCTCTCGCTCGGCATCGGCACTGCGTCCGCGTCGAGAGCTTCGATCCAGGGGTATAATTGCCTCGCGCGCCATTCAGCCGTTGCAGTCTTATCGGCCAAGTTGGCGAGAACGGTGGGTTTGTGGCCCGCAGGTATAGGTAGCATATCTAGAAGCGCAGTCTCGCTGCGGAACGACACAACCAGACCTCTCGGCGCAAAGAAAGCTTCATTAGCTCCTCGAATGTAGTCGTGTACGATGCTGGAAGAGAGTCCTTCACGCGTCGGTTCGTGTAGCAAATCCTCAGCCGTCGTGTTTGCCGCTGTAGTCAGGACCTGTAGACCATACAAGAACTCTGCAAATTCGGCTGGCTTGATGGAATGCCGGTCCAACACTTCAGCGTAGGCAACTAAGAAGTATACGTGTTCGTCTGCACGTCTTGCTGGTCCTGCATGGTCGGGTATCGCGATGATGCGGTTTAAATGCGGTGCATACTGCGCCTTGGCATCTGGTTCTTTCCGCGTAAACTCCAAGGCTTGGGCGAGCAATTCAGAAGCCAGATCGGGCTGTTTGCTCGACGAAGAAGCAGGTTCGCTATGCACTCGTCCCACTGCGATGTCCTCACTCGTACTGACATGCTGGACTGGGACACTGGTGGCCTTGTCGTTTGTATGATTCGCATAATCCGGCGCTTGTTCCTGTTCACTTGCAGGATCTGGTTCTTCGCCTCTTACACGGTACTCCCATACTTCTGGCTCGTTTGGTCCTTCATTGGCAGTAATGCGGTGGGCTTCGATTTGGCTGGGATCTACGGGCGCGATGCCATGACGCGTGTCGTGGACGGCTTGGTCCCGCGCCTCGTCGTAGGATGGTGGCAAATCTTCATACTGTGGACCGCCTGGGCTGTGGATGGGAGTTGGCTCGAATTCATTGTCGGAGGAGTCGGCGATTGAGGTTGCGCTTGGTGTGAATGCAACGTTGGACCGTGATGATGTCGATGGGGGTGGTGGGTTGGAGGTGAGGTTTGGGTCGGCGGGGTATGATGGTGGGCCGGCCATGATCAAAGTAAATCACAAAAGCCAGTGTTGATTCAATGTGACGATGTAAAGTAAGACGTGGAACGTAGAGAAAGCGTACTTAAGGTTGAGGCGTAAAGACAAACTAGAAGCTTGTTTATTCGTACCTACTCCACTGCCATGCACAGCCTCACAGAAAGCTGTTGCCTTCAGATGCGGGGAGATGCCCAATCGCAACTTCACATTCGAAACCACGCGTTTTGTCTAGCACTATTGAACGTCCAGTAAGACGATACAGCTTGTCAGATATGACGCGTGGGCAAGAGGGCCGCAGCTGCGCAGCACTTGAGTTGGGAAACGGTGTGTGAGAGTGGGGCTTGCCGTGGCGTAAGCCTCGGGCGTCTCTGTGGCCAAAGAGCCAATTACAAGACCCAAGCCTGTCCTGTTTCGGCACACCAAGATGTTAGAGCTGAGAGAGCGCATCATGTGTGTTATACAGTAAAGCATGTAAGATATAAATGTGTTGGCGGAGTGCGCGACGTTAAGTGTAGCCTTGGTCTTCCCTTCCACTTGTGTCGGACTCGCTCGGCCTAACAACATGGCCGTAAGGTCCACACGCGATATCTAGAGTCAACTCGCTTTCCGCGTGAGAGTGATCACGTTACGGTTCCCAAATCTACTACACAACACGATTGTTGCGGAGTCAAGTGCGATCGCTGTGTTGGTCTGAAGAGCAGGTGGCGGAAAGCGCACGCGAAGAGTGCGAAGGACGCATCATCATGACTAGCATCATGGAAGACGCTCCCACCGTAGCAGTCATAGGACTAGGTAGAACACCTCTTCCTTGACACAACGAAGCCACTAACCGAACCTCTCAGGACCGGCTGGCCTTGTAGCATTAAAGAACCTGCGAGAAGAAGGATTCCACGCCACAGGTTTCGACCGCAACGCCCACGTCGGCGGATTATGGCAGTACTCGGAGAAAGAGCAAACATCGGTAATGCAAACCACAACCGTAAACGTCTCAAAAGAGCGATCGTGTTACACTGATTTCCCTTACCCGGACGACGTACCGTCACATCCAGCGGCCACGCAGGTTCAGCAATACTTGACGGACTATTCGAAGCATTTCGGATTGGAACCTTATATGCGGCTTAGTACTCGAATCGAGCAAATCACGTTCGATGACGAGCGGGAGAAATGGGTTGTAGATGTGAAAGGTGGCGGGAAGGAGTACTTTGATAAAGTCGTTGTAGCGATTGGGGGTATGGTTGGTAAGGCCAGTCTGCCAGTCATAGAAGGCGTGGAAAAGTTTGCTGGACCTAGTGTTCACTCACAAGCTTTCAAGCGGCCGGCAGACTACAAGGGGAAGAGAGTCATGGTTGTAGGGTTCAGCAACAGTGCGGCGGATACATCTACTCAGCTGGTGGGAATAGCAGATAAAGTGTATTTGGCACATCGGCATGGAGCTCGGGTTGTAAGTTGAAGCGTACCTTGTTGATGTGCAAAGGTCTTGAGACTGACAATGGTTCTTGTAGTTCCCGCGGCGCATAAAGGGTGTCCCGATAGACCACACGCACAACCTACGTCTCGCCACCTTCCAAAGTCTCGTCATAACATACTTCCCTCGCCTCGGCGAGTTCCTCTTCGATAAATTTCTCAAGAAACTGCAAGACCAGAGTTTCAACATCCGCCCTGAATGGCGCTTCGAGCCCGCAAGTAAGGTACCAGTGGTATCTGATACGTTAGTCCCCTGCCTCGAGGACGGCAGCATCACATCAGTCGCAGGCATCAAACGCATTGTGAATGCTACTGAGGTAGAGTTGCAAGACGGGACAAGGGTTGACGTGGACGCAATAATCTGGTGTACGGGCTACAAGTCCGACTTCAGCATGATCGAGCCGCGTTTCAATCCTGAATGTCGGCCTCAAGTGTGGCTCGACGCGCCGGGCTCGAATGGGAAGTCGCTCTTCCGTCTCTACAAGAACGTGTTTTCACTCGAGAAGCCGGATAGTCTGGCGTTCATGGCTGCTGTACACATAACGATTAGTGGGTTTAAGATTTTCGGTGAGCGCATCTAGGTATGATGGTTAGGCGAGACATGTGCTGACGAAGACTAGACCTGACAACCATGGCTATAGCGCAGGTCTGGGCGGGCAAATCCTCTCTACCCTCACTTCCTGATATGAAGCTCGCTGTGGATGAACACCACGTACAATTAGCAGAGACGGCAAAGCGTGTTTACAACTTGTCGCCAGGGCAATGTGAGACAGGTGACTGGGTCGCGGCCATGGACGATCTTGCCGGTACAGGTGTCAACGAGTACCTGGGATACGGGTGGAAAGGCTGGCTGTTTTGGCTTCAGAACAGGAAGTTCTGCAATCTGCTGATGGGCGGGATATGGAGTCCGCACATACATCGCGTGTTCAGCATGGGCAAGAGGAAGTGCTGGGATGGGGCAAGGGAGGCGATTGAGAGAGTAAACGAAAGTGTTGCTAAGATGAGGAAAGAAGAGAAGATGAAGAGTGGTTGACGACAGCTCGAGGTTCTGGTTCGCGAAGGGGCCAGGGCGTGCTCGAATGTTCTCTCATGAGCTTCCCCACACATGACGACAGGCTGTATCACGAGGGTCCATGGCTGTCACCTTTTGCATGGCGCAGTACATATGCCTCGCGACGAAGATCTCGAATATACTCTATAGCTATCGACTCGAAATAAACACCATCTCACTCTTACACGGCCATTACAGTTGTCCAGGTGACGTGAAAGGGTAAACCTTGGTCGGCATACCACAAGGCTGCCAGTCAACCAATCGCAGCACGGGCCGTTGCACAACAGCTGGGGAAGGCGCGACGGGCAGCAGCCAATTTCGATTTCTTTCCACACGCCACGCCGCACACACTGAGACACGTCAATTGCGAGTTATATGGGCAGAGTCATTGCCTGCACCCGAACACACCACGCGAACCGCTTCCATCCAAACATCCACGAGCCCGGAATGGCGACGCAGACGCTGCACGGCTCCTGCGCGTGCGGACGCAACCGCTATGTCATTGAGATGCCGACACAGCAGATCCGCCAGGCCGAGCTGCGATACGACAATACCTCTGCGTCGCGTAAGTAAACGCTGAGCGTTGTGCAGCCCAAGTCTGCTTTGGGTTGCCGCGCGCTACTCTCCAACACGGTGCTAACAAGACTCTAGGACACCACTCAGCGAACCCCCTCACCCTCTGGCTCCGCGTCCCTCTGCCATGGTACACCTCGGCCACGTTCGCGCAATACCCCGACGAGACGCGCCTGAGCATCAAGCGCAGCTTCGTCAACCCCTACACTTCGAATACCCGCCGCCAGTTCTGCGGATACTGCGGCACACAACTCTCGTCGTGGAACGAGCGGACGAGAGACGAGGCCGAGCACATCTCCCTGACCGTCGGCAGCCTGCTCGACGAAGACCAAGACATGCTAGGCGAACTCGGCTTCCTGCCCAGCAGCAGCGAGAGCAGCGACGACGAAGACGAGACATCCGCCGCCGGACCCTCACGGACAAACCGCTCGCGCACAGTCGTCCGCTCAGAACCTCAATCGCGAGGTGCGCCCTGGTTCGAAGAGATCGTGCGCAACACCCGCCTGGGCCGCTTCAAGCAGCAGCGCGGCGGACACTCCGAGAGCGGCGTGCACGTCGAGTGGGAAGTCACCGAGTGGACCGAGGGCGACGACAACGGCGACGAGGGCAGCGCGACGCCTAGCAAGCGGAAGATTGGCGACGTGGACGATGCCGAGGATACCGAGATGCGCAGTGCGTGAGCCTGCTACTTTCTTTCACACGGAATGAGTTGGATTGAAGATGGATTTGAATATGTCACTAGAAACGGATATCGCTCACGCGTAAATGAGGACGAAACGTATGTAATCACTGGACCTCTGGCAGAGCGACATGACATGGGATACGGAGTTGAAGGTGCGTTTGTTTATTTTGTGTACAGTACCTAAGAAATATAGCCATAGGAAGGCTGTAGTGACATGCGCTATATGCTATGTTTTCTGTTTTGTAGTTGCACCCCATTGCGCTGTAACTACACAACAAAAAATATAGCATGTAGCGCATGTCACTACAGCCTTCCTATCCGGCGCATGTCACCTAAAAAGCTGTGGTGACAATGCACTGCACGTGGGTGGACCAATTTACTTTTTTTTTCGCTGAAAACATTTGTCCTTCCCGACCGCACAGCCATTGTCAGCGTATCACGCCTTTGTTTCTCCATGGATCTCAATTAACGCCCCAATGTCACTGCATCGCATGGTATCAAGTCGCACGACCAATGGAGCCGATTAGGACGCGTGGGGTATAGCACGGGCGTAAGCGGCTCGATCATGGCGCCGTCTTCCGTCCTGTGGACAACACCCATCACACCACCAACCAGGCGCTAACATGGGGAGAGCAGAACGAGAAACCGTCGCATCTCAACTCGATTGTTCCACTAATCTTGCGAGTCTGAAAAAAAGAAACATTCTAACAACAACTCCCGATCTCACCTCCAAACCTCCAAAACCCGTCGGAGTAATCACTTATCTCGCCTTACGCCACCTCGTTACACAAGCCATGCAAGATATCTCCGCATTCCCCAAGTCGCCAGCATTATCCGCCTATCTCCCGGGATGCACTCTCCACCAAACCTCACTACCCTTCTCCCCATTGGTCAAATTTACAGTTCCTGCACCACATTCCCGGGATCGTTGGTTATCTTACACCCCTGGTCCACCATCGCTCGCCTGAGGTTCTCTTATCAGTTCGACATGCGACACAACATGATTAGTGTTCCCTGATGTCTGATATCCCGTCACCCGTCTCCACGGTATCCATTCCAGCTGCGGGAGTGCGGAGATGGTCGGATGCGCGCACGTTGTACTATAGTATGTAGGTCAGCCTTTTTGGGGATGGGTTTGCTTCGCTGGGGCTGACTTTTGGCGTGACGGCCGTGACCGGGGCGTAGAGACGGCATCTAGCACTGGGCTATGGGTGCACTTAGCGCGTACGGAAGTTGCATGGTTGCTGGTAGGGCTGCTTTATCTGCCTGTCTTGGACATGTTGTCGCGTCGCTTAGTATACGTACTTACGTGTAGATGTCACTGGTATGTTTGACACAACTCAACGTAACGACAAAGATAGAGGCGTGCGAAGTCGCGGGCCGTCATAAGAGTAAGACGTGAATTGCACATTTCCTTCATTCTTCCTCTGTGTCGTTACACTCTTCTCAGCTAGATTCATCGTCCTTTCTTTCGCCATCGTTCTTTGCTTCCTTATCTCTTGGGCGGGACGTTTGCTTGTACGATTCCCGCGTAGGTCCGTTTGATCTGCGATCGACACGGCGAATCCACTCGATTGCTCACTCGCTTGGACTTGATCGATTGGTGGTATTAATCTCCGGTTGGCCGTGTCTAGGCAGAGAGGAGGGTTGTTGACGTTAACGACGGGTCTTATCGCTTTTGCGTGCATCCTGGTCATTAACGACCTCTTACATACGCATTGCATCACGTCGCAATAGCAAAACTTTCACGGTTACTGGCGTATCGTTCACGCTGTCCTACCACTTCCAACTATGGATCTGGAAAAGAAGTCTGCCGAGAAGCCAAGACCGGAGGATATCGATGAAGCGACAGGCGTTGGCGAAGTCCTGAACGCGTCGGGTCACAAACAGGAACTTGAGAGGAATTTCAGTTTACTGAGTATCTGTGCAATTGGAATTACGACGGGGAATGTTTGGGCTGCGTTGGGGGGGTCTATCGTACGTCTATCCTCTTCTCTGGTACGAAATAATGGGATACAAGATGCTAATCTTGCTTAGGTCATTGCGCTCTACAATGGCGGCCCAGCAGGTGTCATCTACGAATTCATCGCCGTAGCATGTTGCTACTTCATGATCGCGGCGTGTATCGCAGAGATGGCATCTGCAATCCCCTCATCAGCCGGTGTTTACCATTGGGCTTCCGTCACAGGCGGAGCTAGGTTCGGAAAGGTAATCGGGTTCTACGCTGGCTGGTACGTATCATCTAACCCACTCCAACAAATGATGAGATACAAGAAAAGAGCACAGCTAACATCCCACAGGTGGAACGCCCTAGGTTGGATCTTCGGCACAGCATCCATCTCCTCCATCCTCGCCAACCAAATCATCTCCATGTACGGTCTCTTCCACCCCGGCTACGCTTTCGAGCGCTGGCACATCTTCATCGCCTACCTCATCATTACCTGGCTCGCCTGCTTCGTCGTCATGTTCGCCAATCGCGCGCTGCCTAAACTAACGAATATCGGTCTCTTCTTCATCCTCATGGGTGTGTTTGTTACCATCATGGTCTGCGCCATCATGCCTAGTAGAACCGGAAAAGGGTACGCCAGCAACGAGTTTGTGTGGAAAGACTGGCAGAACCAGACGGGGTGGAAGAGCGATGGATTTGTGTTTTGCGCCGGCATGTTGAATGGGGCTTTTGCTGTGGGGACGCCGTGAGTTTTATCCCATTCCATCTATCTACCATCCCCTTCCTTTTCCCCAACCTCAAAAATCAACCAACCAAAGAATACGAAAGTCATACTAACAACCACCCACAGCGACTGCGTATCCCACCTCGCCGAAGAACTCCCCTCCCCCCGGACCAACATCCCCAAAGCCATCCTCGCCCAGTACACCGTCGGTTTCCTAACCGCCCTCCTCTACCTCATCACAATCTTCTACGCCGTTAACGACCTAGACAGCCTCTTCTCAAACCCCTGGCCCTTCCCCCTCGCCGAGCTCTACCGGCAAGCCACAAACACGCATGGGGGGTCCCTCGGCCTCTTACTCGTCATCTTCGTCCCGACGTTCTGCACGAATATCGGGTGTTATATTACGTCTGGCCGCATGCTCTGGACGCTGGGAAGAGATGACGCGACGCCGTTTAGCAAATGGGTGGGCAAGGTGGATAGGAAGTGGGGGAATCCGTTTAATGCGACGTTGGCTTGTGGGGGTATCAACACAATCCTCGGTTGCATATATATCGGCTCCAGCACCGCGTTCTCCGCCTTCGTAGGTTCCTTCATCGTGCTATCGTCGATGTCGTACCTCGCGTTCATCCTACCCAACATCCTTACTCGGCGCCGCCACGTTATCTCAGGCCCGTTTACGATGCCCACGCCGGTGTTTTATACGGTGGCGAGTATAGCGTGTGGGTACATGGTTGTGTGGATACCGATATACTGCTTCCCGTTCGCGGTGCCGTTTGATACTACGACGATGAATTATACGAGTGCGTTGGTGGGCGGGGTTACGATTCTGCTGGGCGGCTGGTATGTGTGGATAAGGAAGAGGGGGTATGTTGGGCCGAGGCGGTTGGTGGAGACGTTGGGGAATGGGGAGACGACTATTGCTGGGGTGGAGGGGAGTGTGGCTGAGAAGGTTTGAGCGCGGGATGGGCGTGTGTACATAGGGATGTATCAATATGAGAATGTTGTTATAATTGACTCAAAACTGGAAAAGTGCTACTTTTGTTACCCATGAAGGA